AATGTACCTTTTATATGTAAGCGTGAGCCTTAATTACTAAAAGAGACTCGTTGTGTTATTCGGCTGGATCGTGTTAATACCCTATTACATTACATTTGGATGTGTTGTGTCATTGTATGGGAAGTGTTGTCCAGATTAAGAAGAACTGTTGCTCGTCCTTCTCGGGTTGAGGGTGAGGGTAGGATCGTAGCGGGTGAGAAAGTGCCGGAGTTCTTGTTGGATTTGCCACCCGTAACTAGGTGACGTTGATACGCAGGCCACGTTAGGCGCCGCGTGACTCCGCAACACACGTGCGTGGCGTACGAGATCTCACCTTCTTTATATTGTCAGTGCTCATTTGGTTTGCTCAGAAACTCAATTCGGTAATACCAAAGTTTCTTAAACATAAAGTTTGATCAAGTAGTAGTAGAGTGTTTTTGCTCCGTGGTTAAAGCAACTATAAACTAGAGGTTAGAATAATTAAACACTTCACTTTTTATCTCCAAAAAATACCACATGACGCAGAGTTTAGTGTGCTCTCATGAATAAAATTCTGAACGTCGTAAGGAATGCAGTTTTCTTTTATAAAGACAACACTCATTAATATTAAATTCAAAATATTATTGAATCCAAGCAAAGGCTGTAATTCTTCAAAACCGTTTTGTTTTAAAATGCAATAAGAGTCAGTGACTATTTCCGTCTTTAAGATTGCCGTGAATTACGCCAATAAACATAAATATATAACACACATGCATTTCAAAACCATTGACCGAGTATCCAAATCCTAGATCCATGTTCAAACGCCTTATTTACTTACCCATCTCGGTTCAAAAGTATGAGGATAGGTTTTCTATTGTCAGCCGGCGAGTTATACGGATATAGCATACCCACATAGATATTATGATGTCCACGGTCATATCGAAAAAATCTTCAGATAATTATCATAATGTAACATTGGTTGAGATTCTGCACAAGATTTTACCAAGCTATCACTTCATATGTACTTGAACCTTGTGCCCAATTTATCCTTTTTATTTTGGTATATTGCCGGTGCTTTTATCAGGCCATGTTCCCAGTATTCGGTGTACCCAGAACATCAGATCAAACCAAATACCTCGGTTCTAATGGATTTAGATCTCAGTGTAACACGAGACGAGTTTTTGCTACACAATCACTATCATTTTGGGGATTCGTTAAAATGTTTTGTAATGGCTTACCTTGAAACGTAAGACTAAAATTACAATTTGTAATCCGAATATCTTATTAATGTCGTCTCTTTTGTTTAGTTTTTTTAAAAATAAATGAATCGTGAAAGTATTTCCAAGAGACACAAAACTTTAAAAACATGCTTACTTGATAAATAACTGGCATGTCAGTTATACAGGGCGTCCCACGGCTACCTCACACGGAGGGAAAGTATATTAAATATTAAAGATAGGATATTTTACTGAAAGAAGACATCATTTCATTTTTGATAATAACTAGAACTGCATTCACAGATTTTTTAACAATCGACTTCTACAACTGGGAATCAAACTCGTGAAATTTCGAAAAAAAAATACGACATATTTTATGATAACCATCGAAAGGGTTTATCATAAAGATTATTGTTTACTAATTAACATATCATTTTAAATGAAAGGAATGTCTTATTACGTGATAAAAAGAATAAAGTGATATACAAGCTGTAGTACGTATGCATTTCTTTTTGAACTTAGTTACAATGCGATTGGCTGAAATTTGTAAAAATAATAATTCGAAAATAGAACACATACATTTTCAAGCGTCTGTACCCCTAGCACATTATCGAATTCGAATAGTTTGCGAGTGTGAAATGTCAATGTCAAATTTTGTATGGAAACTTATACAGAAGCACCACAAAGTATGTAACGAGAACTAAAAATCAGTACACATTTGACAATGACATTTCGCACTCGAAAACTATTCGAATTCGATATTGGTTCGTGCTAAGGGTACTGTTCTTTTTTTTGTGTTTTTCATTTTAGTTAAAAACCGGGTTCTCTTAATACATTTTTACAAAGGGAATCTAAATACGGAAAGATATCTAGAAATACTTATATTTTAAGAGGTGAGATCAATAATCTTCCTGATGCAAATCGACGAAATCTCATTTTCCAGCAAAATGGGACTCATAACAGTAGGAGAACTGCCGAGTTTCTTAATGAACACTTTCCTTCCTGGATCGGTTCTTATGGACAAATAAGATGGCCAGCGAGATCCCCAGATATAACCCCACTGGACTTTTTTTGTGGGGTTATGTAACAGATATAGTATACAAGAACCGGTAAGACAGTGTGCAGCAGTTACAAAATAACTCAGACGTATTATTACAAACATTCACCACGCAAAGATAATGAAATCGACAGGCAGAGAAAACATTAATAGAGTGAGAATTTGCATACAACAAATCAGATCACATTTTGAACATTTGATACATTTCGTTTTGTATTACTTTTTGTTGAATATTATTAATAAAATGTGTAACTTTATGACTTTTGTTTCATTTAAAATGCTATGTTATTTAGCAAAAAATAATTGTTATGATAAACTCTCTCACCGGTTATCATAAAACATGTAGTGTTTTTTTTTTCGAAATTTCACGAGTTTGATTCCCCGTTTTAGCAGGCGATTTAAAAAAAACAGTGAATGCAGTTCTAGTTATAATTAAAAATAAAATGATGTCTTCTTTCGGTAAAATATCCTATCTTCAATATTTAATATACTTTCCCTCCGTGTGATGTACCCGTGGGACGCCCTGTATATTGCATAAGTTCTGGTAAAAATATGTCGTGCGAAGTGAATGGAATTGGTCAACTATATTTGTAAAAACAGTGATAACAATTAAAAACCTAATTAGACACTTTTATTTTTAACACGAAAGAGGTATGAAAAAGAGTCTTCCCCTTTTTGTTTGACTTAAACTTTTTTCGATAGCTGAAGTCGTTTATGATGCTATGAAAAATCAAAAGTGCCTCGAGATAATCATCTACGTTCTACGTTTTGTCGAGACTATCAACTTAAATTATGTGAATACTTGCTTCTACCGCTTCTACGCTCATTAGGAAAACCGCCACAAAATTGTGGATTGTGATGACATTGTTGGGTTCTTTGATGTTAGACAATATTTATAGTATTTTTACACAAATGTTATTTATTTATTTATGTATGAGTGGGGCCTATGCTCAACAGTGAGCATCGTACGATGATTGGGGTATATAATTTGATTTTCTTTTGAATGTCCAAAGACACTTCCTGCAACCTCATAAACAAATCCCAGGTTTCGATAATGGTATCATTCATAGGTATAAATTTGATCCGGTACCGAAAACAACTAGACCTGGGTAAAAATGTTCGATAAACAAATACTAGATTTCGATATTGGTATAATTCATAGTTTGAAATTCCAACCGATAATACCTAAAACCACTAGACCTGTGACAAATTAAAAAACAACTTTTTAAAACTTTACTTATAAGGATATTTGATCCACCAAATGAAGCTTTCCACTTGACAGTGCCTAATCATGTTAGAAAACGGATAAGCTAAGATAGTTTTTGGACTGCCTTACCAAATTTTGAGCAAATTAAAATTGCAATTTAGCTTTGCCATGACCATAAGTATATTCGTCCTTTATAATGTAGTGATCTGATAAGTTAGCCCCACAATTGGACGCCTAGGCCGTTCATTACCGCCATATTGCAACTCTATTTGATGCTTAAGCCGATAGTTGATTAGTCGCATAAAGTTGATTCAGTCATCGTTTAACAACTTCACAAATATAGTCAGCCAAGTGACTGAATTTGGTTTAGGTTTTTTTATGTTCTCCACTGCGGATTCAAACGGAAAATAATTGAATAAAACTAAAAGAATACAACTGCTATCCTAACCGAAGTAGGTTGCAATTGTATTTTTTGGTCATCATTTATTATCTTTCTTTAAGATCATTCAAATATAGCCGGTTCAAACATCACAAATTCACCAATATCCAATTTAACTAAATGGCTACACAACGTTGTGTTCAATGATTTGGCTATTTGTCCTTCAGCTATTTCATTGTTTGCCGGCGGGCATTTAATGAACGACCTGGGTGTCCAAATAACTGACGAATTTTACCAAAATGATTGTACCAATCGATCATATATATCGGGAATCACATTTAATAACATAATACAAAAGAATAACATATATTAAATGTTGCCAATAATAAGAAAAACATATATTAAATGTTGCCAATTTCTAAGAATAATTATTTATCATTCCGATATGAAATGGCGAGATCCAATTAATTTTACTATCTGCGATGTTATTGATCTTCCCAACGTTGATCCCACAAGCCCGGATATCTTGTAAATAAGCCGGGGATTCGAGCTACTGTCAACAGACGCCATTGATAGCGCGTCTATTGTGCATCTTATAGGACGTTCTTGTTTTATCTTGAAGTAATCAATTTATGAAGAGAATAGTTGATCGATTTGATTAATGAGACTTTTTAAACATTATTATTACAATTGCCTATATAATGGAATATTTTTTTGTTAACACTCAAAGAAAAAAGTAGGTACACAAGAACACAAGCGAGAAATGTACTACTGTAGAAATCTCTTACAGCTAGAAAATGATTTGTTAGTTCATGATTATTATATGCATGTAAAATTGTGCACTTTTACATGTGCATTATGCATGTGGACTTAATGGCAATATTAATGGTAAAATCATCCATGGAAAATAATCAAGGTGAAATCAAGGTGTGTAGCTACCCAAAAAAAGTTGTGAATATCATTTCTATACAAAGAAAGACATAATTCAAAATAAATTGATTTAAAGAGAAATTCTATTCGCAGACTGAAAATGCATTTTCATACGTGCGTGAGGCGAGGGTGGTGTCGTAAAATTGAATTTACACGGGTTTTGAGTGTGTTCGGAGAGTGTAATGGAGGATTGTCAGGGCAAATTTTTGATTGTTAATTGAATTCGAGTAGCAAACACACAATCTTACTCACATGATTCACATCATAAGAGCGGTCGGGCGTCTCACTGTAACTCTGTTGAAAGAAAATAAATAAATGATAATAGAATGACAGAAAAAAAGAATCTAACAAAAGATTTTTATGTTTAAAGGGTGGAAAAGCTTGTTTTGCTTTTAGTGCGGCGCTGATAGTACGGTGGATATAGCTTACAGACGCTGGCGATACCAAAGAATCACTTGCGCAGTCGCCTATCCTTTTTATTATGTAGGTACCTAACAAGAATCAGATCCTCAAATAGTTGGATATTCTCCTTTAATTAACTAAAGCAGATATAACAGCTCTTATAAAATTAAGTGACGCACCACTAAGTGAGCACTAAGGTAATAATATCCTAAGTCATGACTGTAAATGCAACAGTTAATTATTGGCACCGCAACAATTATTTTGATAAACAATACCACTTTGAAGCTACAAATATAGGTTTGTAGCTTCATCAAGGAAAAAACAGAAGTTTTGTCGGACTGTCGTCCTACTCATTTATATTATTTATCTTATTATACGCCTACAGTGATGTAGGCGAAAAAATTCAATGAAAGCAAATAAGAAATTTTCAGAATTACATAAGAACAAGTAAGAAAAACACTTTAGTGCTAAGTTATAACATTAATGTCTCCTTTCAAACCAGTGCTATCTGATAACACAAATTAGAAGTAATACTATTATGTTCTCAGATAAGTTAGGATGCGGCTTTGAATTAATGTTATGGAATTATTGTAATGAAAGAATTACCAATATATGTATGCCAGGGAAATTGATATAAATAAAAATATCAGTAAATTTAAATTGACCTATGTACCTTGCAAAAAAATATAAGATTCTTATATTTTTTTGCAAGACTTTATTAGCTTTTAACATACAAACTCAGTTATACATGGTATAACAAAGTCTATACAACTGGATTTTGTTAGTGTAATAAAAATATTAATTTAGAATAGGGTAACCAGCTCAATTTTAAACTCTACGACGTACGACAACAGGCAAATCCAACTAAATTAATATTATTTATCAGAATATTCAAGGTCTGGCTGGCAAGGATTTAGAATTAGAACTATTTGCAAAGAGCTATGATATTCATGTTATCTATTTATCTGAACACTGGCTTAAGTCTTCTGAGTGTCTTTTAGCACAGTCCTGTCGTCGGTGCGATGCCGAATCGACGTGTACGCATAAGCGCAAGTAGCGAAAATAAGTGCATTTTTGTATAGAGTGCAAGTCGTAAGTGATGGCGACTGTACTGGTCGTCAACGAGCTGCTTACATTCATTCAAAATAAAATAGATATACTTGACGAATTGAGTATCCTTCAAATTTGTGTGTCAAATTTCTCGGAAACTGAAATAGACCATGGAAAGACGGAGATATATAAAAGTATTCAGAATGTGAAGATACCACTAAGAAGAGGAGAGGATAAGAAGAAAAAGGATATCAAGGATATAATAAAAATTATCAAAGAAACTGACCCTTTGGACATGCCTACGTTTGTGGCAAAAGATTTAAATCGATTACCTCCGGTATCGTTTGACCACGTTGACGTGACACGATTATTAAAAGATATCAATATACTTAAGACAGAATTACAAAGCATGAAAAGTGAAAATGTATCAAAAAATGAACTCGCGCAATTGGACCAAAAAATAAGCACTGAGCTGGCGGGACTACGTAAATCAATAGAAAAACCAGATACGTTCATAAATAAGAAAAACTTTATTGTTGAAACTCCGTTAAGTGTTCGAAATCGCTCGTCGCCTATGCCAGTACCAGCCGAAGATGAAACAGGTTCACCCGAACCGGTTCACACGCCGTCGTACCGTGATATCGTGTATAGACCAACGGTGGGGAAACCGCAATCGATTATGAACCGTGTGTCACAGCGAATAGCCTCGTCGGATAATAGCAGCGTGACTTGCAAAGAGACTGAGCAGTGCGCTAATAATGTTGTAAAAATCCCTACCGGTTGCATACCGCCGCAAATGACAAATGATAATCTAAACGATTTTACTACAGTGACGAATAAGAAAATCAAAAAACATCGCAATATTCGTGGCACACTGCAAAATTCAACGAAAATATTAGTTAGTGAACCGAATTTAGCGATTTATTTATCCCGTACGCAAAAAAGCACCTCCGTACAAAACATAAAGGATCATATTCAGGAAATGAATGAAACCTGTTTGGAAGTAGAATTACTGAAGCAGCATAATGACGTTAATTTTAATTCATTTAAAATCACAATAAGTGCTCACCAACTTCCAAGATTTTTGGATAAAGAATTTTGGCCATCGGGATTAGTGTTCCGTCGATACCGTGAACGTGTGATACCGCGAAAATACAGTGAATTATAAAAACAATAATGGATAACAACAATACTAGTATGTTAACATTGGCCTCGTTCAACTGTAAATCTATTAAGAGGGCGGTAAATCATGTACGTGCAATATGTAGGGAGGCTGACATTGTCGCTGTTCAAGAAACATGGCTTTTACCCCATGACTTGAATATGGTACATGAAATTGATAGTAATTATGACTGTATAGCAACGTCCGCGGTGGACACAGGAACGGGGGTGCTTAGGGGTCGACCGTACGGTGGACTGGCATTGTTTTGGCGAAAAAACGTTTTTAATAATGTATCTTTAATTAACTGTAAGTCGGACAGGGTATTGTGTGTTAAAGTTAGTGTAAATTCTAAAAAATTTTTAGTTTTCAATGTTTATATGCCATGTAATGATATTGAGAACTTGACGGAATTCACAAACTGCCTTTCATGTATAAGTGCAGTGATTGACGAGCTCGATATTGAGGTCTGCTATATTATGGGCGATTTTAACGCACACCCTGGTACACTATTTGGCCAGGAAATGTTATCGTTTTGCTCGGAAATGAAATGGCAGTGTGCAGATTATCTTAAACTGGGAATAAATTCGGACACGTTTACGTTTACTAGTGAACAAAACGGGAGTAACAGATGGTTGGACCACTGTCTAACTACAGAGTCAGCGTTTGCCACCGTTGATGAGGTGTGGGTAAAAAATGACATAACGTGGTCAGACCACTACCCAATGATGATGCGACTCAATATCGGGTTAGTTTTAAGTAAAGTTCCTTTTAATAACTGTGATAAAAATAATAAAGAAAATAGAATTATATGGAATAAAAGAAATTTTAATCAAATTAAATTGTATAGAAAAATATGTTATAGTAACTTAGTAAAATTAAAATATTCTAGTCATTGTTCGAACTGTATAAATATATCTTATGAAAAAAAATGCACAAATATAATATATCATTATAGGGATATTGATTCGATGTATAATACTTTTATATCAATTTTACAAAAAGCTGCAATTTCAAGCTGTCATTTTCAAAACGATTCCAGAAAAAAGTGTCGTAAAGTTTTGGGATGGAACTTTCACGTTAGTGAAAGTCATAAAATAGCTAGGCAATATTTTAAACAATGGATTGAACTAGGAAAACCGAGTAATGGCATTGACTACAATAATATGACGCAAAGTAGAAAATTATTTAAAAACAAATTAAAATGGGCACAGAATAATGAAAATATAATAAAAATGAATATATTGGCAAATAGTAAAGCCTCAAACAACTTTGTTAAGTTTTGGAATGGGGTGAAAGTGGCAAAAGGCAAAAATGTTTTACCAGCCAGTATAAATAATACCAATGACAAGACGGACATTGCAAACTTGTTTGCAAAACACTTTAGGGTCGAGCCTTTGGATGTTGGGGAGAATGGGGTACCACCATATACGAGATATATTCCTACCCAGGGTCGACCAGTCATAGTTACTCCTGATGAGGTTTTCCGTATAGTTCGTAGCATGAAACACGGAAAATCACCGGGACACGATCGTCTGAGCATAGAACATATCCTTAATGCCAGCACGGAAGTTTTCAGGGTGATAGCCGATTTGTTTAATATGTGTATTAAACATACGTACCTTCCAGCTGATCTAATGAAAACTGTGGTGGTCCCTGTCCCCAAGAACAGAACAGGTGATTTGTCCAGTCCTAATAATTACCGTCCGATATCGTTATGTACAATAGTTGGCAAGATATTTGAGAGGATCTTGCAACCCGAATTGGTGAACAATATTAAACTAAATGACGCACAGTTTGGTTTTCGTAGGGGTGTCTCAACTGATTCTGCCATATTAGCGCTCAAGCACACTGTCAGTTATTATAACAAGAGAGAAACTACAGTCTATGCGTGTTTTCTAGATCTCAGCCGCGCTTTCGATCTTGTTAATTATAAATTACTCTGGCATAAACTGACAGAGACCACGGTGTCACCCACGGTTGTGAACCTGTTGAGACACTGGTACGAAAACCAAACTAACATTGTAAGATGGGGCGACGCGACATCTAATAAGTTTAGATTAGACTGCGGTGTTCGTCAAGGAGGACTGACGTCACCGGACCTTTTTAACCTGTATGTCAATGGATTGATCGAGAGACTCAGAGGAGCCAGGGTTGGCTGCCATGTTGGTAACGTATGTGTTAACAACCTGAGCTACGCCGACGATATGGTTCTTCTGAGTCCCTCGATTAATGGACTTCGAAAGCTTCTTTCAATATGTGAGTCCTATGCTGGGGAACATGGATTGAAATATAATGTGGCTAAAACAGAAGTCGTTATTTTTCGGAACGGAAAAGGTCCGGTAAACGTTCCACCGGTGTGGCTGTATGGTTCGCCAATTCGGGTTGTAACGAGGTTCAGATATCTGGGTCATATATTGAATGGACAGCTCAACGATGAGGACGACATGGAGAGGGAGAGAAGGGCTCTTGCGGTGAGGTGCAATATGCTCGCAAGGCGGTTCGGCGGATGTTCGAGAGACGTCAAGATAATGTTGTTTAAGGCGTACTGCCAAACGTTTTATACATGTCAACTTTGGCTGAGATATACAAAACGTTTGTTTAATGTGCTGCGAGTCCAATATAATGACGCCTTTCGCATCCTGCTCAAAAAACCGCGATATTGCAGTGCCAAGGAAATGTT